TTGCGTAAACAGATAGCTAGTGAAATTCGAAGTCAGTGATAATAAAATGGAGAAATTAGTAGATAATGTAGTCAAAAGAGTAGGACAGGAGCTAATGTGAAGTAGTAAAAAGACGAGTTTCGGCGTCTATCAATTAATAGTGCTTTTGCTTAAAGCTGTTCACGGATAGTGCAGTAGCCATATGTGCCGGTAGAGTATTACAGGGGTGGCAAACCATCAGTAAAAGGAAATTGGAGCGCGCTCGAACCTTTGTGCCCTCGTGGGATATCCTTCGTGGATTACCACTAGCAAGCCAATACGTATTTAATGGCAGAGTACCTTTATTTGGGTGGTTCTGATCATTTGTAATCCTGTGGCAGCGATGAATAAGTCCCCTCAAGCCGTCAGTATCTGAGTATGAAAGGACCGAACTTCTTCAGCCGTTCATCATATCGTTTGTTTCAGAGATTCATCACGCCCTTCTTTGGACACTTTCCAAGCAATGGGGTGCAGATGCATTGTACATTTCAAGGTATGATCTTAAATATGTTGTGAGCAGCCTTAAAAAGATCTCAGGAGTGAAGGCATCTTAGTGTCTGTGTGTAAATTTTATAGCCTCATATGCCCTCGTTACATTGCTCCTGTAATTCGTGCTCGTGTCTTTTTTCGGGCGTTGATAATGCATATCCCCTATTTGAAGTGGCGCCTCTGGCTTAGCCTTGATTCGAGTTGTAGCTAGTCGTCCAGGAAAACGCAGTAGACGCGATTTCGGTGCTTATTGTTCTGTTGTTAAATGAATTTATATGAAAATTAATGTTCGATATTGTTCTTGAGCACTTAATGATTGCTTTTGTGACAGGACGCTTAAACACATGGTTCATGCAATGATTATTTGGCATACCGAGTAAGCTTCGCGTACATTTCGGCGACTGTCATTCGATAAATTTCTTTGCTGCTTGGCGGAAACCTGTGCTCGATCACAAATTTTCCCTATCAGCTACTGTGCATTACCTATTACTGTTGTAGGAACCGAAGAATATGGTTGATATCGAATTCAGGCATCCTTCCGCATTTTCGTGTGGCGTTTTGATAGCTGAAAGTTAATGGAATGCATAGATACAATCGAAAATTAGTTATCACAAATGAGCAGAGACTGCACTATGTTTTACGATCACTTACAACATTCACTGTTTTCTGCCAAAATTTTTAAATGAGTTAAATGCGTAATGCAACATTTTAGTAATTTGGTGGATTTGAATACCATTCTCGTGATCAGGTGCGTAAAGACATCTGAGGTGTACGTCATTATGTCCCATTATTGAGTCTGGTTTCATGAACTTCCGATTTTTTTTATTGTCCTGACGGCATACTATTTGCGTTTGTTCGAAGTTAAAGCACAAAATTATTATGAAATCGCGTAGAAGTAGTATCCGACATCTCTTAAAACTATGAACGTAAGATTTGGAAGCGGTAGCTTTGTCCATTTAGGGAAAACTCATCGATTTCTGCAAGTAAGGGCTACGCATCATATTCCTAAATACCTCCAGAAGCGAACAGAATATATTAATGGAGCCCCAGCTCCCCTATTGCGAAACATCTTATAGAGACAGTCAGCGTCGGTGGCATATCGGTTAGGACGCTCGCCGACCATGCACATGGTCCGGGGTTCAATCCTCGGCCGACGCACTCCTCTACCTCACTGGGCCAGAAATAATGCTGGTAAAGGGGAAAGGTTGGGTATGAGGCTGGCAACCCCATCCTGTAAAAATAAGCACTGCTACAGAAACTTCAAACCAATGGCTTGAAGCCCTGTGTTCCGCTGGGAACGTGAAGGAAAATTATTATTTTATTATTATTATGGAGACAGGACACAAAATTGACGTTGGTACATTTTTAAACCTATCTGCAAAACGTGTTTGGATTGCATCCTAAAGTTTGTGGAAGCCCAAGTGTGATTAGGAAGTTTAAACCCCCTTTGTGAGGTCCAAAACTATTCTTCATCATACGAAACCTTTTGTCAGCCACGTCTCGTAAACCGTTAATGCCAAGCTCTTGCTACGCTGGGACTCACCCTGTTCCTTGAAGCTCCTCAGAAACGCTTAGTACGAACGAACGCAAAAACCAGAACCCAGTTTGGCGACTCGAGGATTCTTTATTGTAACACCAGCATATAGCCAACTTTAAAACTAAGCTTTACAACTAAGCTTTACAACTAAGGTCTATGGACAAATATTACAATAATGAATCACAATATTACTTCTGACGGTTGTCTCCTGACCTCTTTCTGAACAGCGACCGATGAGACGATGGCTGTCGTATTGATGCCTCCGCGAAAATTGGGGAAGTTGGTTTTGAGCAAACAACCATGAATTGATCGCTCAATCTTAAACTACATTGACACCTTCTTTGTTAAACTTCGTTTTGATACCAATCAGGGTAGATAAACTAATACCTGTTATTTGGTTTAGTGATTTTTATTGTTCTTTTGACCTACAATATGTGGTTTAATTTCACCTAAATTTATTTTCTAACCTCTTAACTGCAATAATTTCATATGTATTCCTATGACAAGTCCATGCGTGACAAGACTGTCCAAAATGTGTTGCACAAATACGACACTACACGACTCAGACAAATAACGTCTTCTTATTACTGCGTCTAAATATCCACTTGTGTCAAAAATAGTGACTGATGTAATCGCACAATGATATAAAGTTTCATTAATTCTTACTGTGCTATCTCGTTAATATTATATCGGTAGTTATATTCATGTATACATCCTGTGACCCTTGTTTTCTTTTTTAGCTAATCTGTAGTTCCAGTGATCTCGTGGGATTATTCGCTGAAGAAAGGGACTTCCAGTATCGTTGATTTTGTATTTTGTGTTGAATCACTAATAAATGTATTCCCTATACCTCAAATAGACATTCTACTTGTTAATAGTCACCACTAACTTTATAGAATGTTGTCAGCTACAGAGTTAGGGGTGTTAGGGTCATGTGTTGTATTGAGTAGGGTGTTTAGGGTATACATCCGCTCCTGAGGTATATTGTCGTCAATATGGAGTACATCCTCGTTCTCATGATAAATCTGTTAGCAGTAATTATTATCAGTACCTATATTTCGTAAGGATGGTATATAACGAAACGTACTAATTCAGTAGTCAAAGGTTAGAACTATCCGTGAAAATTGAAACAGGCGCTCATGTTAGGGAAAACTGATTAATCGAAAGTTGAAACATCACGTAGGTGATAAAGTTTATAGCATTGTTTACATGCGAATAGTTAAGGCTATTTATTTAGAAATGATGGTAACTTGTTGAAGGTTTAAGGGGTGTTTTGTTTGATAGAAATAGGTGGGACATTGTAACTGAAAAACAGTATAACTGGATAAGCAACATCAACTGGCCAGTATACACATATTTTGAAGTAAAACACGATCGTGCAAAGTATTTCGAAGACAGCAGTAGAATATTCTTCTGAAACTATCAATTTAGTGAGTAACTAAATTTGTCTTTGAGTTAAGACTGAAAGTAAACGGTATATTTGTGGGCTAAACGATTATCATTATTCGGTTTCGTTAGAATAAGTGTCCGAGTACTATTTCACTCATCATTCTGTCTTTTGAATAACTTAGTAACATAGCGTTTACATTAGGATCCAAATTACGAAGTAAAGGTTAATATCCCTAAGATTAAATTGTAGCCTGAGTAAGTAAATATGTTCATATCTAGAATATACTTAGGTTTGGAGTTGTTTTTTCTACTACCACAACACCAGGTGACCCATTAATTAGTCACAAAGTAAAACTAGATCTGCCAAAGACAGTCTGCTCCTGACTTCTAGGTATCGTGAAGGAAGAGCTATATCCATAGGTTAATAGGATTAGACGCATGATATCAATTCGAAACTAGGTAACTAAGTTTCACAGCTATAGAAAACACCACGTTACAATCTATCCCTTTAACCGTGTCAATCAATGTGACATCAGTTAAGACTAGAGAAGGAACACCACTGGTTTTCACAAAATCCACTTGTGTTCCTTAATACAATGTACATTCCGTAATTATAGGCAAACTAGGAAACTCACCAAGTCATCACATATATACGAGCAATAATTGAGCGTACAAGGTAGGGTAGATTTAAAGGAATGCCTATTCGATATGGCCCAGAGTTCATGTGAAGTGACACATGCCCACATCTGGAGGTGCGTGTGTAAGGTATCGCATTTCGCCTAAGTGACTCAATGGGTCGCATCCATATTTAACAAATGATCAGTCCAAATTCCACTAGTATTACATATCCAGCTTAACAGATTTCACTATGAACTTCATCAAAATGAACACAATTACAGCAAGACTCTGATACTGGTCTCATTTAGGATAGAATTTCCTTTATGTGCCATACACCATTTGATTTATTCACCATGGATTTAAAAAGCTCACTAACCTCATATACTCATCAGAACAGATATCTAACTTATGCCTACAGATTCATTCTTCCCGATAATCCTGATTCGCATGAAAACTTGCTTAAACATTAACCATTGGCAGCAGTCAGTTTAACACCCGATAATCACTAACAATCCACTAATATAAGAGCATTGAGGCCCTCAAATAAAAGTGAAAGCCATTTTTGTGTATGGTTTCTCTAAGTTCGTTCTTTTCGTCCTAAGAATTCATACTTTCATATCAAAACACTGCTACTCATTATTATGAACATAATGTAAGAAGACGCCACTTCTTTCGACCACACAAGCCTAAAACTATCTAAATGTGCTTCATTTTCACGAAAATAGACGCTTAGAGCGCATCCACGGACATGAACACAACAACACATTATGCGCGAAAACACATCGCGATAGCCTTTGTCCTCACTCAACTAATCACTATTTCATTTGCCATCTTAAGGCGAGTTCAGCTAAATACTTGAGAAACTTTCGGGCCATTTTCATGTGGTTTATTTACCAACAAGGTTTCTTTGATTTTTTTGACCTATCTAGTTGTTTATGTGTATGAAGACATGGTAACAAAGGCGTCTAACAGGCGCTGGAACTGATTCGGAATGGAAAACCATGAAAAATTTTTTGAAGTAAATAGTGATTACTTGAATTTTGTCCCCATTATTATAAGTGTCACGAGAAGTTTTCTATTTTTCTAAGTGTAGGATTGTTCATAACTCCTCCAAAGACATGCTAGTTTTGGGAAATCAAACTAGTGAATAATTTTGAGAACATATATACCGAAGATCAAGAACCTATACCTCACAATCAAGAGGCGAGCACAAAGAAATCAAATTGGTTTATACTAGCTCGTAAAAACGATATTGGATATTGGATATAGAGTTTCAGAGAAATTCCCGAGCATTCGGGGCAATCAGGGAGATTGACAGCATTTATGGGAAAATGCATTTCCTTCAGATGTTCCTCGAAGTCATGCATTATTTTGCCCTAAAACTGTCCCAAAATTTTCCATTCGGACAAAAATGAGTAAAGAATGGTTGGATTAAAGTTAAAGTAATGAAATCTGGTTAAAAGTTGGTCAACCCAACCAGGTTATTGTGCCGACAAAATGGCGGTATTTCTGGGAAAGATCTGAAAAATGTGGGAAATTATTTTAGTAATGGTCAAAATGGTAAAAATCTAGTCGCAACCGAAATACGCCATTTTCCTTGATATAGGCCATGTTTACTTTTCTCCACTTTTTGATTCGGGACGTCAATTATTGTGCTAATTAGCACAAATTAATTTTTCGCTTCTAGCATTGAAAAAATGGTTCCTGTCAGAATCTGATAACGAGTTTATGGACTAAATTGTCTACGATGCTTGTGGTACATATTGCACCTACGTTGATACCATAGCCAATATATTGTATAACTATAGTTATCCAGATGACTTTCCACATATTCGCCTTGTTTCCTGCAGTCTGACATCTGTTACGTATAACAAAACAACGACTTGATCAAACACCGATGCAGCTTTACTAAAACATTTCAACAACCTACTAGATCACTGCTCGGGCTTGATCTGTGTATTCGAGCCATGTGTGGCATGTAGACTATAAGACTAAGATCCTCATGATTTGAGTAATAAATGTTTACAGAATGCTTTCGACATTACATAAAATAGATCCTAGTGACGTAAATGTATTTGCTTCTCCCTATATTCCTTATCCTGAAGTTTCTCAACAGTTTCGATTAATTTTACTTTCCTCATGGAACTTATTCGGTTGTAATTTCATTACGTTCACTTTATCTGCTTTTATTTTTTGGTTCGTGCGGAGTAAGTCAGGAAGCCTTTGAATGCGGCTAATATGGCCGCTCAGTTATGTATACTACGATTGATTTTCTCCCTGTGGTCAAAACATGCACAATCCAGCCTCCACGCAAAAGCCAGAAACCATGCAGTTTTCATCGATCAGGAAAAAGCTTTTATTCGCCATTCGTAGGTTCATTCTGTTAAAACTAGCACTGTTAATATTATGCTTTATGCAGTATAAGTTGTCGCTATAGATGGGTTTTGAAACTCATTCTTCTCCATTTCTTTTACTCCCACTTTTGTAATTTTTATTTTGTCTGTGTTCGCTTTCACCGCTTTGCTGGATGATGTCACCTCAGAAGATCGTGTTACGTTGATAGTGTTTTTGTCCATGTGTTATTTTCTGACTACACCTAACTCATCCCCATGCTTGTTTTGTTTTGGTTAATAAAAAGGTGGTTCTTCATACGTAACATGTATCTCATCCATCTAGGTGAATAAAGCTTCAAAATCTGTTCTACATAACTTCGTCTTTATGTCCAGAATACGGTCTTAACTAGTATACCTAAGTTTCATTAACTATTGAAGAGTAAAGATATGATATACACACCTCTGTATGTCCTAAAAGCCTGCTAATTTCTTTGGGTTCATTGACTGTGAGCTTCACAGGATTATGGAATTCAGAGCCTTAGATTGTATATTGCTTTAATTATAACAGGAATACTGATTGTATTCCTCTTAAAATGGAATGATCATTGATCTCCATCGGTTCGATAGAAATGTTTCGCATAATAATTTATCCCCATCAGTCTTAAATGCCTCTAAAGTCATCCCATCAGATCCTGCCGTCTTTTGGTGTAACGTATATGGGCCACGGGGTTTAGTTACGAAGTCTTCATTGTCATTTCAGACGAGATTGTGATTACTTACCTCAGTGTGAAATGAGGACCAAATCAGTACCAGTAACTTCGTTGATCTAGAATTCGACTTCTTTTGTAATGTGACAAGGTTTTTGCCGGTTGTTGAATTTGATCTACGTTAATATTTCTATTGGATTATAACTGGTATAAGTGCCAGGCTTCTAGGAATTTTCCGCCATATCCAGCATTTCCGCTGTGTGAAATTTTCACATTCCCCCTGGTCAAAATGACATTCATAAGTGTGTTTATGTATTGGCATGAAGGAATACATATCATATCTTTTGTAAAATAACAGCCTTAGTACTTAGTTCTGATGGCGTGATGTCATTGGTTTTGCCTTTATGTTTTTGTATATTCGACCACTAAATTGAAAATATATTGTAATACATAAATCTATTAGTTTCATTCGATTTGAGCACTACATTTTCTCATGTTAATGGAGTTACTCGTTGCTATGAATTGACTGATGCATAGTTTCTTTTGCCAGTTTATGTTTAATTGAGGTATATAATGCTGTAGTGACGAAGGATACCATAATTTTACCGTCATCTGGTTGAATGTCTTTGATTTTGTCTAGAAATTGTGTTAGCTATTCGACCGGATAGTTGCCGAATGCTATTGGATGTTTTATTTTTATAAAGAGTTTTCTGAACAGGTTAAGTGTTACGGGTCCTGATAGTAAAATGAGTGGTTGTGAGGGAATGTTGTATCTTGTGTAATTTCAACCCATTCTAAAGTCGGGATAAGACAGGTCCGTTAGATTTCATTCGCCATATGTCTTGTTTTATAGTTTGTGCTGAATACATTATTTTATAGAAAATCGTTTTGATATTATCATCTATTGTTTGGAAAGGTTTTACTGTGACCTGCTGATACACATTGTTATCTTTAAATAAATTACCTGCCTTTTCATTTGATCTTCTGTGTCCATCACTACCGTTGGTCTTTATTTGCCAGCTAGTAGTGTAACTATATTCTTATTATTCTTCAGCTCTTTAATGCTATTAACAGTCACATGTTGAGTTAGGAATCAAGTTTCTTCTGCTCGATCATGGACAGAATGAATTGATATATTTCTCGTTGAACCTCTTCATATAATTTTGATGGTATGAGTGATGATTCTCGGGGGGGGGGGGCGGGCAAAGAAATTTGTCTTTTAAGCATTCCCAGTACTGTAATTCAAATCATTCTAGAGAGGTTGCTTCTCTCTGTTTTGATAAATTTACTAAGCAGTCATCCGGTGCAGCTGCATATGGCCGTTTAGAAGTCTTGACTAATTTCCCTCTAAGAATAGTTCGTTTTCGTCCTTTGTGTCCTTCGCTTTATTTTGTAATGGTAGTATTCAACACAGACAGGCGTTACGGTCCGAGAGTTCGTTCTGATTTTCCTTTTTGAATTATACTGATATGTTGGTGTTTTCGAATTCAATAGTGTGCGTCAGTTATCATAAGTTTTATTATGTGTTTTCCACACTCTCTGGCTAACTTCCACCCTAAAGATTAGTTTATTGGTGGTTTATATTTGACACTAGCTGGCAGAACTTCTTGAAGAAGACTTCATAAACATCGACTTGAGTTAAAGATCTTCTCTATCATTACAGAGACAGCTTTTTTAAACCATAGTTGTAGTTGAAAGATGATTAGTTACAGCCCATTCAAGCGTCATCAGAAATAGATCATCCAGTTACTGACAGAATTAACATTCGGGATATAAATAATTCACCTGTGCAGTGACTGCCGTCAGTAAGCTCAATGATAAGTACAAAACTGCAGCTCTGATCAGAGTGGGAAATCAATTTCTTATTGGTTGGATTGCTCAAAATTTCAACGATAGCACTTCACTGCTAAAGTATACAGTAAATAATCGGTATTCTTAGAAGTCTAACTTAATTACTTTGAATTACTAGTGTTCCTTGGTTAAGTTTTCTTACTTCTGCTAACTGTGTGTGCAGTAAGAAAGGTAAATCCGATGACGAGCGAGTGATTCTCCACATATTCAAATGTTTGAAATGTGTATTACATGTTTTATGCTTCGATTATAATTAAAAAACGACTTTAAGAGAAGTACAATTCAGATAGACAAAGTACGCACCGATCATACAGAAACACAGTATCAGTCCATAAATCCATCAGCAATTGGTCTAGGCCTTGTAACAAGGTGCTAGGAATCAATGACTAGGAGTTCTTGTTTTCATGGCTTAGAATCATTCCTATTAGACCAGAATTACTCACTGAATTTTGTATTCAAAATTTGTAGTCTACTCATTAGTCTCCATTTTACTATTGGTCTTTTCACACACACTTCGATTTTTAAACCGTAATAGCAACTGCTCTTCACTACATATGTTGACCTGAGCTAATGTACACCTACTTAGAGTTCTATGTTTGTCTGTTTCTCACATGCGCATATCTGGAGTCAAAACCAATTTGATGTATTTCATAGCTAATATCAGCTACAATAAACGCAACATTACAACCTTTTTTAAATAACTTTACTTTCAGTGTAAAATTTCATAAGTGAATCAGTTGATATAAGTATAAAACTTGGGCACTGTATAATACTGTGTGATTTATCAAAATAAAATCTTATCCACAATGAATCAGTTGATATTCAATGAGGCGACTTATCATTATCATTTCTCGAGGTAACAGGAATTCGTTTTCTTCAACTTTTATCTCCTTTCTTTTAATTGTAGTGTAGTATTATTCCAAGAGAATATATTATTGTTTGCATTTCCACATATATATACAGTCATATGCATACTTTAAGGGAAAATTAATGAAGTTCATTTTTGATGACTTATGTAAGTCACTAAGCGTCAGTCTGTATAAGGTAGCAGCACACACACACACTAACTATGCTACGGTCAACACATCAGATAATTTAAGACTCTTTGCAGAGCTGTAAATGATTTGATTGGGTGCTGTGCTTTCGTGACCTCATGTTGCATTTAAGAAGTCAGGTGATAGTTTTAGCTGACATGAAGTGAATGTACTTCAGACATTTGTACTCTCATCCATGGGTGGATGTTTAAATAATTCTTTTCCTAAATGAGTGATGGAATTTATTTTTCGTAGTTTTACCACCGATTGATATCAGTAAGAGAACCATTGAAAACCAGGGAGTACTGGACAGCTGCTGTTTCATCCTAGTTTGGGAATCATCGGCAGTAGGCACCCACCACTAGGGTTCGGACTCATGACCTTCCGATTACAAGGCAAGCTCGTATACCATTCAACCACTGGGACCCAATTTAATGTCCTATAAATGCAATTTAGACCAATCTCTTCCCACTAGTCACGACTAAATATTACTTCGAAAAAATAGAGAAGATTTGTAGCTCAGGTGGATGGCCAGAAAGTTTAAAATCAAAGTCAATAGAAAATGGCCAATACATATGTAAAGATAGTTACCAGGAGACGCAATTATATCACTCATGAAGAAATTTGAATCGTTTCACTTTATGCTAAATATTGCGCTGAAGATGTTGTCCAGAAGGACGACGAAAGCTCCGCAACTAAACCAACCAGCTCAGAGAACACTATTAATTATAAATATTACTTCGTTTAAGTTACTTTTGTTTTTCCTGAAGACTGATTGAACTGAAATGTTCTGTTTCTATTGACATGCCAGCTCCTAATATGGTATCTTAAACGGAGTTTGAAAGTCAAAATACTGTTTTTTGATGAATGGTGACTACCAGTGGAATCCCGAATACACATTTCTTCCTGTTTGTGACCCCTAGTGAGTGATGGTGTTCTCACCAAGACTTGGTCCCATTTCTGTCCAGTCAGTCAACGGATGAAAACAGAACTGACTTAAACAAAACAATAACTTCTTTCGTTTGCACAAGAGGTGACTCTGGTGGCATAAGTGGTCTGGCGGATAATGCTTTGCCGTATGAAACAAAAGGTAATAGGTTCGAGTTCCGATAGAAACACTGTTACTAACTAGGAGTTGCTGGCCATCCAACCGACGAGTCACAAGTAGGACGAAATGTGCATTCTGGAGCCCGAATAGCTCAGTGGTAACATCTCTGACTGCAGCACTGGGTGATGAGGGTTCAAATCTCAGAATGGACACGAGTTCCTTCAAAATTGCAAATGCGGCTTGTTGACAAGTGTTAACAAGCAGGAAGCCTAGATCCAAGGATTCCTTCCAATTGTCTCCAACCATTGTGGATTTCACTGCTAGTAAGCATCCACCAAATGACATCAAGACTGAATGCTGTTCTACATTTACATCCATCAAATGTTTCTGTATTTTTCATTTCTTGGAACCAATGTTAAAAGTCAAATCGCCATCCACCATTCACAAATTAGTAAAAAAAAAACAAAGTATGCAGGCTTTACTTTTGAAACAACAAGTGGTATTTCGTGAAATCTAAATATAAGGTTCCTTCTACTAATTTGTTTGTTAACTATTTTTCATTTAGCTAGAAGAAAGAATCAAAGTTTATGAAGCTGAGATTAAAAAAAAGGATGAATTAATTCAAAAGTTATCCAGGTAAATTGGTATATTTTAAATTTTCATAACCTTTAAATGATTTCTTTTCTTCTACTTAGTATGGATATTGGTGAGGTTGAACATGTGAAGGAGTGTGATAACCATAAGAAAGTGGATGAATCTAATGAACAGCATCAAACACTCATAAGGCGTGAAGAACTCGCAGCTTTAAGAAGTAAAGTTGAACAGTTATGTGAAAAAGTAATTCTCCAATTGATTTCTTACTTTTTCCGTTACAAAAGTTTTGAGACTTATTAAATGTTTGATATATTTTATCCTTAGACTGAAGCTTTGTACATTAAGAGCCCTGTAATTCAGCTTAATGCTTAAGTTCCACATAGTGCAAATAACCGATATTTTTTAGTTTCTTGCATTGTGAAAGGAAAATATGGCTTAGAGCTTTGAATTTTCAGCAGCGGTAGCGTTGTTTTCACGAGGTGGGCTCGCTAGCCTCACAGTAAAACTTTCCTCTTCTCCAGGATTACTACCAGTAAGGTGAGATCTGGGAATACATCAGCTAGCGAACACTTCACCATTCGATCAACGATTCAGACATTCGATGCTTCTGGTAAAAAAGATAAGTGTTATTTAAAAGTCGCATATTACAGCTAATGCAAACGGTAATGCTCAGATGTACAATAATAAAGAAAGGATTATGTAATGGGGATGCATTAGTATGCAGCTAAACGTCAGACCTATAAACTGTTGGATAATAAATTGCCTGTGAAATTTTATAAATTTAATTTTCACCGCTAGTTCTACAAACATTTTTTAAAATGGTAGACACAAAAAGCTTGACACATAAGTTCCCAAAGGTTTCATGGGATACGGTGCAAAACTACATGTTCACGAAAACACTACCTTTAACATGGTTTGAGAAAAATATTGTACTTATTGATAGTAAATAAGCATACTGCTTTGGTGAGTCCTTATTGTCGTTTAGGAAGAATCATGGAGATGATTTCGTCACCCTCTTGTTAAAAAATGACGCTGCACCAATTATAATGCTAGAGCATTGAGAAAAAGTTTAAAAAAGGATTAAAAATATCCGCGATGATGTTATTGCTGAAGAAGGTTTTCCTTCCATTCTAGACTCATATCTAGAAATCAACCAGAGTGGCTTTCAGCATAGATTTTGTCATGAGCCAAAATAAGTTGTAGGATTATTGAAAACCAGAGAGAAATAGACAGATATTTCATCATAGTTTGTGACTGTTCAGAAACGCTATCCAACGACCCAGTCGAATATGAAACCTAAGACCTTCACATCGCTTACCCATTACATTTTCCAGTCAGTCTCTCAGTGGTAATCCAAATGACCATTAATACTGGTTTCTTTGATTGGACACTAGTAACTACTGTGATATGAATAGTCCTGTCTTTGGTGCACACTGAATTCTATCAGTCAGGTTTGCAATGCGACCACCATCCTAGGTAGCTCGCCATCACGATGCACATTGATCTGGTGATATTAGATGGACACGTGCCAACTAGCAGGAAACCTAGGTCCAAGGCTTCCTGTCGATCGCCTCCAACCACCTAATATTATCAAATACTGGTTTCTGTTAGTTCACCGCAAGGCACATCGGAAGTGATCACCCTTCTTCTTACACGACTTGATGGACAACATCGTTCATGACTTCTAGTCAGAATTTCAGAATATCAGTCCTGAATATCTCGTTGATGAACGGTCGTTTACTATCCAGATATTGGGTTTTAAACAGTAAGCATTCGCCGTGAGCAACCTGAAGGTCCTGGTTTGGATTGCTGGTAGGGTCATTGGGCTGCAATACTGAAGTGTCTTTATTGTGCTGTAAGTGATATGTCAAATCCACCTGCTATTTTATTACACAACATTTTTATGTTTATTGATGGCTTCAATTTTGCGTGTGTAATGTAGTAAATAAAATCACCGTACAGTAATGTTAGACTTCATACTGATTCAGTCTCTATCTTCATTTTTAATGTTACATCAGAGTAATAGAAATTAAGAGAAGTATTACACTATTAAGTAAGTGCAACTAATATGACTCATTCTGGTTACTTTCATGCGTAGGACTGCAGTCAACTGACCTTGTTTTTATTAGATGCTTTAGAAGTTTTCTTGAAATGGCTCTTTTTGTAAATAGTGAAGGATTTTACCAATGTGTAAATTATCATTCCTGAATTTTAGTTTAGAGTATTATACTTTGTGCTACATGACTGATGATACTGCCACGTATGCTCAAAGCAGATTTTCCATATTTAGCTGAGGCTTGTATGCTCCTTATTGCCTTGATTTCATCTGTGTGAATATCAAAAGTGATATTCATAGGGTTGTATTTTTAAAAGTATCCTCTATAAAGGTAATCGATATCGTTTTAAACTTCTGTAAATTCAGAAGAATAGTTAGAACGAATAACTGCTGTAAATAAATCCTTTTTAAAGCTTCACAATTATATATATATATATATATAATAAAAATTAGACTGTAAGAGACGGTCCTCGTTGGGATATCGTTAACATCAGACATCACAGATACTCCTAATATAGTTTTTTAAGTACCACAGCTTCTCCGCATCAGCATTTATTTATTTATTTTTACTTATTTTTGACTACAGCTTGATTCCACACCGTATTTTTGGTACAAGTATGGAATTTTCAGCGTGGATATCGGTAGCCCGAATTTTTCAGGCCGACCATAGATATCAGGTGTGCGTCGGTGTGGGCTCGAACCTCGAACTATGTGCATGGTCGGCGAGAGTTCTAACCACTGTGCCACCGACGCATTAAAATCACCTGCTGACATAATCGTTTTTGAGCGTTATTTTTCGAAACAAACTAAAGACCTGAAGCTTCATTGTTAACTTACCCCGAACTCCACTAAGTAAATTCTTACGAAACTGTTTAGCTAGACTTCACTTAGGTGTATTTCCAAGCTATTTCTACACTGACAATCCAACAAAAACTGTCTAAATAATCTCCGGACATTCGTATAATAAATTTTGCAAATTTAACGTGTTGATTGGTAAAAGAGGCTGAGCGAATAATAACACTTGGGTCTTTAACGAGTATCTGAGAGACAGAAAATTTCAGCCTGATCAACCGGAAGGGATTTTTGAACAACAAGCTCTCAACTACACATGTTGTATGAGAACTGATAATTCTACTCAGTCATCTACTTTGAAGTAATCGGTATGGCATCAGGACCCTGGCTGCATTGACCAGGTCCAAGTGCTTAAGCTGCGGAGAGAAATCTCCATACCAGGGACACCCAATTAAAACTTCAGGTGACATAATTTTGGCCAGCATGATTTGCTATCCAATTTCACTAATGTCGACAGCATGTTCAAAGTGTTGACGCAAGCTAAAGAAGTTGTGCGGAGAGTAGTATTGGCAATCTGCCATATTAAAGTCTGAGAAAAGTAATAAGATCAATAGCGTATGTAATCGGCAGAACTTTTCTTGTTGATAGGATGATGTGGTCGATTGACACTTCCGGCTGTCAACACAGTGTAATTCACTTTCACCCTTGAGTACCTGAAAGAAAAAAGCATTAGTTCTGTGTGGTCAAAAAGTCTATGGAATGACTGCCTGAGGAAGACTAAACATGACCTGACGGTCATTTCGGTCCTTCTAAAGCCTTACTCAGAAAGCAAACAAAAAAAAGAAAAGAAACAAGTAGGACGGCTAAAATATTGAAGATTTATAATCAAGCTTAACTTCTGAATTTCTTTGGCCGGAAATATCAGGCTTCAGAGTCATAGTTGATGCATAACTTGTAAACCAAGGTAAAGTCTAAACGTAGTGTTCACTGATTATTCTGAAAGTAATTTCAGCCTTATTCGTACTTACTGCATACTACTGCTGTTATATAATCGCTAATACAACTCGATCCCTTGACGTAATAGAATTTGGGAATGTATTTAAGAAATCAGACAGCTTTCTATCTGATGGTCTTTTCAATAAAGTGACTTTAGAAATGCATGTATATTGACAAATTTAGTTATAGGTAGCATGATATAAGTATTTATCTATTTCATTTTGAATTACTAAATACATCACTTAATATAATAAGGCTTTCTTAATGCTGTTTAACATGCTCTACCGGTAGGCGATGGCTTACTGATATCGAAATCCGATAATAATCTACATACCTTTCACTGGTTTCCCATTGTTTGTTCGTATTCTGACGTGAAAAATATTACGAAATACAATCTATTCTATTAAACACCTGTTTATCACTATTATTACTATTATTATTATTATTACTATTATTTTCATATTCATTGTTTTAATTATACACACACAGACATTAAGCCAAGATGTTGAAATAAAGGCAAAATCAACTCTTCTCACAAAAGCTGAGTCAGATCTATTCAAGTTAACACAAAAACAAAATGAATTATTAGCTGAGAATGAAAAACTTCACAAACAACTAGTAGATAGTAAAACAGACATGAATAAAAGTTCAACTGAATATGAAATGTGCAATAAAAAGTTGAATGAATTAAAACAACTATTGAAAAATGAACAAGTTAAAACAGATGAATTGAAAAAACGTTTAACGTAAGCAAAAAATAAAACTCACTTCTAATTTCTTTTTCTTGGTTAAATTCACTAATGAGTTATTTTTTATTTAATGAATGAACAGTAAAGACAAGTAGTGGTGATAATAAACAGAATTAGTACTTAGCTTTATTGTTTAGTATACAACCGAAGTCACACAAGCCTAGTAAGTATAACAGTTTGTATGTTCAAAATAAAATCTAACATAGCACTGCTCTGAGCATTAACTCAGTATACCTCGTAGTATGTAATTTATTTCCCTGTTAATTTTGACTAAGTTTTTTTAAAGAATGAAGAAGTAGCAATAAAAGAAAGAGGCACTTAAGGAATCGTGTATAAATAAAGTGAAATTTTGCCAAGCAAGTCTAATAACCAGCTCAAAATGGACATATCACACTTACTATGGGCTAATTATGACAAATAGCCAGTATGACATATAACCAAATTAGTTCTGTCTTATTTAAATGACAGTGTTATGTAATGTACTGCATATTTTCTCCTTTTAATATTCACTCTACCTGCAAAAGTATGGCAGAGTTAAACTGCAAGCACCACTATCTACCAATCAACGAATGACCCTGAAAGCACCAATCACATGGAAGAGTCAGTTTTGGGTATGGAATACATATATTTATGAAAAATATGCACGAAAATTGTATAAAACTGCTATAGAGGATAAATTTCTCTCAAGTGTGATAAAAACACCTCCCAGTTTAGCATAGGAGTATCAAATGAAAAGTTACCACATTCTATACATATAACCATCTAAATGACAAGAAAGGACATCGTTTTGAGATCCATTAATAGCTCTTATCCTGTGTTTTAGCATTCCCCAAAAGGCTTCGATGGAATTGATGTGTCTCCCTGTAATGCTATCCTCTCGATGAAGCCTTTCTGTAGAGGGGTGTCATATAAAACAATCACTCAAGCATTATTCGCTCGTTGTCGACCACGGTTGTATTTTTTCTTTAACAAGACAATCTCATCTACATATACGATGACACTTCCTCCTTCCAGGGTGTGATGTCTCTGCAGTGGTGGTACCACTGAACTGTTGATACGAGACTATTTTCTCTGTTTTGGCAGCTGAACCTCTCACAGGCCGTTTTAGAACTCAGTAATTACAAATATACAAAATCTCGGTTAAGGACAGATGGAATCTGGCAAAAATGTTCCTGCATGATATAAGAATTATCAGCTTACCTTTCCTGACACTAACTCGTCTCAAAAAAACGCACACCGATGCAAATGTCCATTAACAGACCTGCTGAAGCTTTTTACGGTCATCACACCTCCACATGAACAAATCCTTTCTTTCCTGATCAACCGTATATCTAAGCAATGCTGGAAGACTTGGTCCCCATCAGGTTGCTAACTTTATTGTGTTACAGCAGACATTTGACTAGAATCAAGAGAAATAGAAGCTTTAACTCATGAGCCATTCAGGGCCACTGGTGCGGCCACACTCCATTAGTAGTTGTTGATGCTTAAATTTTAACATGGCCCAAAATACATTCCCACATCATCTCAATTTATCCTCAGCATTAATTAGCCAGGTCAGAAAATCAACTAGGAAGCCATGAAAGGGTTTATGATAAGCTATCAAAAAAAAGATAATTTAGTCACTTTGTTACACTGAACAATATGATAAGAAGTGAAAAATTCTAACTACACAAACCTTGAACTGGCGATTCAGATTCGTTTCGGTTTTTACACACATGACTTAAAAGAGTGGATTCTGTGACATCATGAACTGATATATTTGCAAAAATCGAGCTCTGTGATAGCGTGCAATTCCATGTTAATTCATTGCTTTTGGATATATCATCACATGGTGGAACAGTGTTATTCGGTGGATGATGTTTCGAACACTTGCTATGATTATGAACAATGTATTCAATAAGTAAATGAATGTGGAATCGTCTTAACTATTTGATCACAGATTGATATCAGTTAGAGAACCATTGAAAATCAGGAAGTACTGGTCAGCTGTTTCATCCTAATTTGGAAATCATCTGCAGTACACACCTTCCGGGGTCCGAACCCAGGATCTTCTGGTTACAAGGCAAGCTTGTATACCATTCAGCCACTGGGAACCGATTCAATTCTAACTTCTACCAATTCGTGATTTAGCGCGACCACCAACCAATGTCCTCGGTGGGATATCCATCCTTACACCTGACTGGGAGGACCCCAACGGTCATGATTTCTCACTATAACTCCGGGAAACTCTGTCCTGTAGCTAGTCACTAGCGAGCACCAGATTAATTTTCAGTAGTTGATTTGTAAGGATTAGATTTTCTTTTACGAGCTTACATTGTGATAGGAAGGTCATGGGTTCGAACCGTGGTGGTGGGTGCGTACTGCCGACGATTCCCAAACTGGGATGAAACAGCTGTCCAGTACTCCCCGGTTTTCAACGGTTCTCTAACTGATATCAATTCGTGGTCAACTCGTAAAAACAAATTTAATTCATACAAACCAACTTTTGAGAATATCGAATCCTCAAGTGCCAGTATTCAGGGACGCAGTGACCAGCGCGGCCCACCAAATCAGATGAAAGGACAAATACTCACCGATAACACTAGCTGGTGGATGCGCTATACGTCACCAATTGACAGAAGTCAAAATTTATGGACCACTGGGTTCCGTTTTAACGCTGAGAGGTCAACGGGTCGACCTCGATAAAAATAAATGTCCTGAAGTTAATCGTTGGTGCTTACTGCCGGGCAGTCCAAAATGGCTCTCAATTACTCCATGATTTTTCAATGGTTCCCTAACTGAATTAAGTTCATGGTCAAAGCATCAATATCGAATCGCAAATTGATGTCAACTTTAAACCTATTTTGATAAGACTATGAATGATTCACCAACTTCATGTTTTACCGTTTACTTGATTTAGAATTTTAAAACATGATTTAATTTTACATTCAATTTTTGTTTTTCTACTCGTTGATTTTCTTTTAAAAATTTAGTAAACAATTAGAAGAGAAAGAAAATGCAGATTATAAACTTGTAGAAACTGAAAAACGCTTAGAAAACTTCATAACAAAAATGATTCATATATTCGATACATTTTTCCAAAATAAAGAACACTTGAACATTACTGAGTGGAATGATGAAAGAAAATTGGAAGACTTGATAACAAAAGTAATCTCTCATTTCACATATATCTTTGATATTTAAATCTTTACTATTTCCATAAAGATTATGATTATTATTGTTGTTCCCATGGGTTCTGCTGTCCTCTTCAGCTAGACCAACGATTGCCCATAGTCTGTTATCTCCCCAGTTCAGGGTCTTCTCCACGTCATCCTTTCACCGACGACCCACTCGTCGTTTCTCATTCGGATTCCACTCGAGGGATGGTCTGCACTGCGTGCAGCGTCATTCGGTGGTCTCCTCAAGGTATGCCCAATCCATCTCCATTTTCCCCTACCATATTTATTGAACAACAGGTTCTTGATTAGTTTTTACCATAGTTTCTTGTAGCTAATGATTTCTATACTGCTATTTGATGTTCATTATGGAGCCAGCAAAGGGGGGGTGGAGCTGTTGATAAAAGTCTGTATTGGCCTTTTGGAAATGGTTTTCATGACGTGCTCGCCAAGATTCTGACCCATATGGAAGAAGTGACTGATTTCACATTTGTGTTGAAAATCTGAATCTTGTTCTTTACGCTGGCTGAGTGAAGCAGAAGATTTCAAAATCGATTTCAGATTTATGAAGGTGTATTTTGCCTTTCCAATTCTGGCTTTGACATTTGCATCCGTTTCTACTGTGGTTGAAACAATGCTTCCTAGATAGGTGAAAGAAGTAACCTCTTTCAAATTTCTCCCGTTGATGGTGACTGGTGCTGGCTGTTGTTGTCTCTGTTAGTTGGTTATCTTCATCACTTCCATCTTCTCTATGTTCACCTGAAGTCCTGTCTTCGCTTCACTCTTTTTCTGACAGTTTGTTGATTTTTGCCTGGAAGTCTTCAAGTTTGTATGACATTAAACATAAACCATCCACGTGCAAACACCCTGAAGAAATCCGAACCAGCTGGTCAAATGAAAAGTTGGTGTGAATTATTCTACTTTCTCTGAGTTTTAAATAAATATAATTTTTACGCATATCTACTTTTCACTCAGCTTTCAAAGTTTGTGGAACTATTCGATAAAGTCTTGAGCAGAGTTCATATCAAGTGATCTAGTTTATTTTATATTTGATTAAATAGATTAAGTACTTATTTTACAACGATAACAATTGCAAAAAGAACGTTTAATGTCTCTATAGGTTTCTGTTTATATTAGTTATAAGATCACAAAAATTAACTAATAAAGTCAAAGAGTTTTAAAACCTAAATCTACCTACGTTTAGTGAAAGTTAGTATTTAAGGTCAACTAACACAATTCACCATTAACTTGGTAACAGTAGGATGGAGGAATAGTTGAATCTATGATGATGCTTTAGGAGTAATTTTGAAATTTTCGCCTTCATATTATTTATTGTAGAGTGTTACTAGTGCGTATTTGTTTATGTGGTCCATCCAGACAATGCAGAAGTTTGGTGATATTAAATAGCTGGAGGCAATGAATGGGTCATAGGAAGCCTTGCTTCACCTAGGTTTCGCGCTAGTTGGCACTCACCAGTCAGCAAGGCGTATCTGCGACCTTGTAGGAAATCATATCCCTTCTGAGATTCAAACCCGCGTCGCCCAGTGCTGCAGTTAGAGACGTTACCACTCAGCTGTTCGGTCTGGCGATTGACTTCCTGTAGGACTGTAGTAGGTACTTTGACTGGACACTAGTAACTTTCTTCACATAAAGTAAATTAAGAACAACTGAAATATTTTATTATTACAGAGTGACTGAAGCACGTATTTTGAATTTCCAAGATTTATTTCATCCCATTTCTTTGTCAGTAAAATACATTGGTAATTTGAAGTTATAAAAGCATATTTGCAGATACTTTGTATTCCAAAATGGTACCACCCAACACCTGGGAATGCCACTGACACTGTTTCTTCTCATTCTAATCATTTTTGAAATGTAAGTGATAAAGGAACTACAATTAACTTCATCGCGAATATCACCCTCTTGATAGGACTATAAAAAGAAAAGGTGAACTGTCAGTAACACATTCCATCAGATATTGTATCAATTCCTTGAATCTTGTAATTCAAAAATTATTTTAGTGTTATAGTGTACAGTGTGTGTTTGACTTATAAGTAGATATAAGTAATATTTGTAGTAATGTCTTTAGTTAAGCATTGATAATATGTGTGCCTTGGGTATGTTCCACATACAAGGCTTTTGATAAATGTATTTATAGACATACGAAGAATTTTAAACACAAGTACTATTATTGCGACAGTTGTTTACTGACTGAGAAATAATACACATTCTTTTGATCGGACACTAACTAGTGTCATGCGTCTACTTCTTTTCTTTTACTGCAGACTTAATCCTATCAGTGACGTTTGTAACGTGGCCACCATGCTAGGTGGCTCGCCATCACGGTACACTCAGGATTGCTGTCATTAGATGGTTGGTTGTAATCAGGAGGAAGCCTTGGACTTAGGTTTCGTGACAGTCGGCACTCTAATATAGTCCTACAGGAGGTCAATCGCCACTCCGGATAGCTCAGTGATAGAGTCTTTGGCTGCGTCACCGGGAGATGCGAGTTCGAATCTCAGAAGGGATTTGAATTCCTTCAAGATTGCAGAAACGCCTTGCTGACTAGTGAGTGCTAACTAGCACGAAACCTAGGTCGAAGGCTTCCTGTGGTAGACTGCCTCCAACCATCTAATAACAATACACATTCTGTTAAATGTATCCATGTTGACTATAGTTTTATGAATAATTCCTTTAATGTGATACAGGAGAAGTTAACGGGTATGAAATTCTGTCATCAACACAATCACGGGTAGTTATTAAACAAAGAGTAATTTAAAATAAGGTATACAAATTATATTTATAAAATCTCAGTGATGATTAATTAATTCCAACATTTCGTTCTGCAATCTGGTCCAAACTTCTTCAGCGAAATTAATCGAAGTTAACATAACAGAGTTTTATATATAAAAGGACATCTCTTGTTTTTAAAAATTTTGTCCAATCATATGAGTTATGAAACAGATGTCATCACGTGTAATAAACAAAATTGTATGAACTGTGTGACCTCAGACTTTCAAAATTAGTCTACTTTTGTAATTTTTCTCAGATTACGCTAAACTAAAAGTTCATGGTCGTAGATAACTGAATATGGAGATATATGTGTTTATGCAGTATAAACTGGTGTGTGTATGTATGTGTGTATGGGTAAACAGTTGTAAAATATTTGTTAGCTACTCCATAAGAAGATATAGACAATCGAGAATTTAGACCAAGTATGATTAATTACTGATACATATCCATTCTTTATTTATTTATTAATCAGGATTTGCCATGCATCAGCCTACATCACACCTTCACTTCTATTCAAACTGTTGGGATTCACCCATATGTGTAGGGCTTCCGCATTCAGTCTTTCTTTATAAGAACCAAAACTTTTCTGTAGAACCTTAGTCCTATCCAAGTCAATTTTATATCCCGTTTCTATCGAATGCAGTGCAACCGCTGATCTATTTTCAGGCTTCTTTATGTCTGGAACCACCTTTAGACCTTGTTTATGCTCTTTCACTCTTACATCTACCTTCCTGGAAGTTTCTGCTACATATACGGCGTCACAGTCCCCACAATTGATCTGGCACACACAATTCTGTTGGTTTTCTTCTATTTTATCTTTAACCTTCACCAGTGATGAACATACACTCTTATGTTATGATCGTTATGGATTCGCTTAATCTTATCCGATGTTTCTTTGCGGTAAAGAATCACCGCTGTACTAACCCAAATCGTAGCAACAGATTTCGATCCATCCCTATCTTCCCATTTTAAATATCTTCTTATAAAGGCTTTAGGATACTTATTTGATTCAAGAGTGGATGAAAACATGCAGCAAATTTTTCATTATTTTATGTTTTATTCTAATTCTAACCTCATTGAAAACAAACGGAACAATCTTATTCGGTACGACTGGTAAGCAGTCGACTTCCTCGAAAGTAATTTAATTCATGTATTAATCTTATTTTGGGAATTAACTAACGATGCATGTAAAGTGAGCGACGATTGAAATATGGAGATTTATACGAATATACCTCTGTAAGATGTTGGAAGTTATTGCCTATTTATGAATTACTATCAACACTTAGAGGCTCAACTCACAGATAGCTTAATTTTTGAATAAAGCGCTTAACTGTTCATGAATAGTTAGAATCGCAATATTAGCCGAAATATAAGTCGATTTTAATTTACAAAACAGTATAAATTATATTGTCAAGTCATACAACTAACTACATTGTTGAAGTGGGATTTTGCTTTAATTTAATTATATCATATTTTCTTTTAATATTTCTTTACATTTTCCAACAGGCTAAAGATGTTGTCAATGAAAATTTAAAAAACAAGGGATACATACAAGATTTAATGGATAGATTACAAAAACGTGAAGCTGAAAATGCTGAACAACAGCGTAATGCAAATCGTTTGGGTGAACTATTGACTAAAAATGTTTATTGTGAAAAAGAAAACAAAGGTTTAACTCAGGTATATTTTTGAAAAATTTAAAAAACAAGATGGTGTTAAATTTATGCCTCAGAATAGATTTCAGTGTAAACCCGACACTAACCAAAATACCACTGAAAAGACAAGTACTGTTTTATCCCTGTCTAGGAGTTCTCAGCGGTCGATACTGAGGATAGCATAGAATACTGAGACTAGAAGTGCTAAGTTGCAAGTAGACCAACTTTCCTTTCATCCAGTAGGTTAAAGTACAGTCAACTATTTCAGAAAATCCGAATGAAGATAAAACAGCCGTCCATATTCTGTTTTATTTTCAGGGGTTCTTAGACTAATGTCGTTATATGGGGAAATATACCTTGAAATTAACAAAACTGTCATGTTATTACTCCATGAAGTGAGGACTGTTAGCTTCTGTTTAGAAGAAGAAATATTTATCATACTTATTGTTTGACCGTTATGTTAAAAAACTGTCATTGACTTATATCAGTATGATGAGTTTATACGTGCTATTTCACGTATAAGCATTTGTTTTTTTCCTCGATGACAAGTGTACCTGGAATGTAGTCTTTCCATATTAATATGATCTGAAAACATATTGCTACAAACCGAATTTTTTTTTCAATCAACGAAGTATTCCAATATTTAGTCATAAGAAAAAGACATAAACAACGAGGAAAATTTTCCTTTAGACGACTCATTTCCATGAAATAATAAAAAAAGAAGCAAAATTATAGTAAGAACTTTACTCTGGCCATAGTAGGGCGAGTGAATGTATGTAGTGCTTTTGAATTCAGAGGTCCAGTTTCAGATCGTGAATAGCTAATGCTTCGGCTATGTACAGATGGCGTATGAGAAGTCCTTTTGTACGATACTGAGTGACTCTGTACAGTACAGTGAAGGATTCATGAGGGGTTGTTTGATGTTCGGAGATGACAAGGTGTTCGAGGATGGAGCTGCTGTTATTCTTCTTTTCTCCTCTGGCTAACCAAGTTGGACAACGTATTCCGGAACATTGTTCAGACATCAAGCAACCCTGCATGAATGCTTTACGGTGCTACACAGAGTCCATCAATGTCTTACGAAAGGACTTCGAATACGCCATCTGTACATGGCTCAACAATTGGCTATTCGGGATCTGAAACCGGACCTCTGAATTCAAAAGCACTACATACATTCACTCGCCCTACCATGGCCAGAGTAAAGTTCTTACTATAATTTTGCTTCTTTTTTATTATCTCATGAAAATGAATCATCGAAAAGAAAATTTTCTTGATTGTTTGTCTTTTTCTTATAAAACCAAATTTGGTGTTATTTCAAGAGGTTAGGAGAATAAGCTTTACTGAGGATTAAAGTTGAATAACTCTGACTACTTCACTGAACTTTAAGAAAGAGGGGATACTAGAAGTGATGATTTTACTTATAAGATTGGGTAATACAGTCAAAACACGAAAATCTACGTTATATGATTTCTGTATAGAGACTTGAGCAACATGCTTAACAGCGATTTATTTGAATAGCTCGCCTAAAACATTAAACAAGATTAGTGAGAAAGCAGCAACGTTTTGTAGAAAAACAGAATGATGTAGGAAGTCAAGAGAATTATTGAGACAAAAAAGGGAAATTCAAAGTCAAAAGAACAAAGAAGAAAAAACAACGGTGGACCTGAGTAGTCCAGAAGTCGTTTTATTTTACATATCACCTTTACATTACAACATTTCAGAAATCAAAATCCGAAAGTCTATGTTTTGTTTTTTCTTTTTTATGAACACACTTCAGTTCTTTATACCAGTGATTCATATTCAAATAAGTGATAGATGCGTGAAAATTAGAAAAATCGTACCATGTACAGGTGTATTCATTATTTACTACTTAAAGTCTAAATATAACTACTTCGATAGCAGTTATGTTAAACACAAGGAGAGAGATGAATCATGCAGAAATATGTTCCCTGACATTTTTTTAGATTTCAAGATCACCAATGTCAGCCTCGGACAAAACTGAATTAGGTGTAGACTTGGTGTAATGGTAGTGATGCGACTGTTGTTGATGTTAAACAGTATCCTTGGGAAATTGCTTTCTTACAGAATTATTAGGTAGATTACGAGGGTATATATATATATAAATATATCACTAAAATGAGCACCCATGTGATTGCAGTTTAGAGCTACTATTCATCTAAAGGCCGACAATGCAACGTATGTTGTTAATACATTCGAACACACTGGATTATGTGTGAACTACGAGTTGGACAAATTTATTGAATAGTATAACTGGATGCTCGGAACCAGTACCTTTTCTGAACTTGAAGATAATATTTTGCCTATTGTCAGTTAGGCTAATAGTCACTAGAACTCACTCATCCAGACCTGATTTTTTTATGTATCAGACTGTGAACCATACTTACTGTGTAGTGGATGAAGCAGATAGACTCATATTCGAACATAGTTCTCAACGGCTGAAGTTCAAGTGCTACAGGCAATGTCTACATATCCGTCTATCATCTGGGTAAAAAATACCAACCAATGTGTTTGTTGTTTTCATCGACTGCCTGTCCACTTATGCCATATTATATGAAGTAGAGATACATTGAAAAACAGCTAAACGTGTTCAGAAGAAGATGGGACACCGAAACATGAAGTTGGTGACTATTGTCCTAAATCATATGGAAAAATGTAGGTCACTCGGCGTGAATGTGCTAAATAGCCGGCTGTAACGGTTCGAGATTGATGGTAGTGTGATTCAAATGCACTCATACCTTTGTTTTTTAATATACACCATGAAATAACACTGTTTTACATATCTTATTTCTTCTTCTTGTCACTTTAAAAGATACTCATTAGAACACTGACACCTTTCACCAGTTTCATTTTGTTAAGAACATTTCATTCTACATTAATTCTTAATGTGTGAATACTTAAATTAGGAAGCATTCAGTGTTATCTGTCTTGTTCTTAGCGGTCTAACTGAGTTATATCACTCACTTTGTAATGTGGTCATCAGTTTAAGAGACTGGCCATCTCGGTACACCTCTTGTAGGTAGTGATCCCATATACCTTAGTAGCAACGTGTGTTCAGATCTCAGATGCTGCAGATACGCCTTGTAGATGAGTGCCGATAAGCACGAAACCTAATTCCTAGGCTATGCACCAACTGCCATCAATTTTTTGACAATATTTGTGACTGTTTAGGTTGTAAAAGTTTAGAGACTCTGAAAAAATATTTTAACACTGAATGGTAAATGCTTTATTTCAAAATCAATAAGCACATCTTTTACAGGTGATTGATACAACTCACAAATACATCATTTTGTCATCAACGGTTTAAAGCATTCCTAGAACAATTGCTCTTAAATCAGCGCTATTGAAGTTACCTGACTAAACTTTATATTTATTTAGAGAAAGTATAAAATGCTTTCTGAAAAATATTCATTTTTTATAGGAATTGGAATATATTCGACAAAATGAAAAGATGTTAGAAGATCGTTGTCGTGTATTGTCCAGAGAATTAATTGATTCACAGATTCATATTAGAGAATTAGAGAAACAGCTAGCAGAGTCAACTCAGAAAGCTGAAAGGCACAACTGGATAAATCAAAACAGATTTGATGAAGAGAATGCATTGTTCCGGTATGTGTCTTTCATTTCTGTTCATATCATTTTCTGATTAAACTGAAGGATAGACATATTTCTATGCCTTTTATCACAATAAAGAAAGATGGAACAAAGTTGTACAATTGCTTAGTTTTTAGGAACTATTACTTTCTTCTTCAACACGAATCACAATGGACAGCACATTCCAAATACTGATAGGATGCGTGGTATCACTGAAAATAACTGAAACTAAAGGAATACATAAGAAATTTGTCGCTTTCTTGAATTGTACAGATTTATGTTGAATTACTAAAATGATTGTTTAACCATTAAATATTACTTTTAGATATTTGTGTTTCCATAGTTATGATATTAAATGAGAACTTTATGTCTTGTCGGCTCAGGCTCACTCATATAAGGCAAAAACATACATTTAGTCAATTTATGATAAAAAAAATTTCAATACCTCTGAGTTCGCTAATTAGTTATTTATATAAGGCTAATACAGTTACATTTTGAAAGCATTCATTAAGTTGCACAAATATGTGAATAATTACTCTGAAGAAGTCCCAGTAAATAAATAGTCAAAAGACTCGACTATTAACCCCCTAGTTGGGCCACAGGTGTATACTGTTGAAAAGTTCCAAAGTGGGATGAAATGGCTGCGCAGTCCCCCTAGTTTACAAAGTACATCGGTGGTTCACTGTTAGGGTGCTTGCTAATCATGGGTTTGTAGCCGACGCAGTCATAAACTAGCTTAGCCAGTAGTTAGCCTGGGGAAGACGGAGGGTTGTGCATGAGGGTAATAATCCCAGCATGTGTATACGACACTAGCGCCACTGAAGCTTGCAGCCTGAAGAATTCTTCCATGTCATGTGCTCCTAAGTAGTTCAGAAGAAACATGCTGAAATTTTACTTTTGTTTTATATTAAATGAAAACTTAACCCTAGGATTTTTTAATTTTACACTGCATTTTGATTCGGAAAAGAGTAAGATGACTTCATCCCCGAAGTTTGATATATGAAAACACTTAATTTTTGAACTTCTACGAATTCAACTTTTTAGCCTTCTAATTTTATTCTTATACAATTTCTGTTTAGAAATTCATTAGCATCGATGCTTTCATACAATAATTATCAGTGTAGTCCAACTGAATTATCAATAAAAGAAAGTATTAGAAAGCTAATGAGTGACTTTCAAGAACAGAAAGATGTGAGTTGTTCCTATTTTTCGTTTATTTTTTTCCGTCTTTCTATCCGTCTCTCTCGGTTTAACTACCATCGATAATATACACATTGGCATAAATATTTGTAACTTGAAATATTCAACTATAAGTCCTTTCTATTTCTAAATTTTTCTGTTTTCAGAAGTGTTAAGATGATTTCTTGATGACTGATGCCTTTCAGTGACATTTAAGTTGCTGTCTTTAGTGCTGTTTAAAGGCTAATGAAGAGGGATTTATAAAATTCAAAGGGTATGCTTTCTTACAACACACAGAACGAAGTTAATGATTAGAGCATCACTGTAATTTATTCTTCAAGAATTGTCAGCTTTACCACTTATTTCCGCTTTGAAAAATTACCTTAAGAATTGTAGAAGTCTTCTCCCCTTGATGACATTTATCTGATTGAAAACATTTATTTCCCGATACGAATTTAAAACAAGCAATAAAGGTTAATAAAGCAGGATTTAATGAATTCATCAAATTTCGGTAGAACTCGTCAGCTGAATACTCCACATACACGGATATATATACTTTTGAAATTACATTGGGAGATATAAGACTGATAAGTAAACAAACTACATTGAATTAATCATGCAGAAAGACACGTGCGAATGTTTTCCAGGTCATGTTCAAATAGATAAGGGAAGAGAGAGTATGAGAGATCAAAACTAAGATAAATTGCATTACGCTTCAATTACATCACTTAGATAAACAATTAGTCACTAGGGAATATAACGAGAATTGCAAACAGACTAATATCAATAGTAATAGTTATAGTAACAGTTTTAATAGTGTTGAAGTGAGTTAAGATAATCTTACTGATAAAGCATAGTTTTAGATGAATCAAGAATAATAATAATAATAAAATAATAATAATAATAATGGTAATAATAATAACAATAATAGTAAGAAGAAGAGGTAGAATAATAACAAGTAGAGAATAAAACGTATTACCATGGTAGATTAAGAGTCACGACCATCTCCTTTTGTATACAGAGAGCTGGTTTATAAATTCGAATTGCACAAGCCTCTGCAACTGCAAGCATCGTCTTGTTTCTTTGTTTGCTGACAATGGTAAATGACTTGACTGCGTCGATATCATGTCCGTAATCTACAAGATGTTTTGTTATTGAGGATTTTGGCACTTTGAACTCAGCTGTTTTCAACCATTTTGGCAAATGCTCCATCATGTGAGTAGACAATCGCCTTTCCGTACGACCTATGTATTTGCTGCCACAAACACACTCTGATTATCTGATTAACTTTGAGAGATCTTGTGTTCAATCGTGTATTGTGAGATCAAAAAATCCCTACAAACTAACACTTGAGAATCGTTGAACTATTGTGTAAGATTTCTACAACTGTAACCTACTGCTGGACATAATAATAACATAGTTTCATTTCCGAATTTCCCATCACTGCTTGAGTTCTTTCAACTCGGCAAGTTACATTTGAATAAATATTGACGAGTGAAGTATTCTATGTAGAAAATCATTTTTCTTTTGAAAAGAGCTTCTGGAACTCAGGGATATAAGCTGTTAGTCTAAACCTTACGCATATCTTAGTTCAGCAGGGATTTGATTAGCTTCAGGATTTCATCATGAGCTGACATCGGTTAGAGAACCATTGGAAAACCAGTTGGGAGTACTGGACAGCTATTTCATCCAAGTCTGGAACTCTTCACAGTATGCACATACCGCCAGGGTTCGAATCAAGGACCTTCTGGCCATTAAGTCCCTGGACCCGATCAAGTGGCTCATGAACACCTGGGTTCGAACCCTGGTGGGTGCTTACTGATAACAAGTCCTAAACTAGGACGAAACAGCTGTCCAGTACTCACAGGTTTTCCGGTGGCTCTCTAACTGATGTCAGCTCATGATGAAGTCCTCCAATCAATCAGACAAAACCCCTACAAAACTAATACTTGAAAGTTGTTCTCTCACTCTGAAAGCAAAGCAGACATATGTCCTATGGTACCGTATTTTGAGCTTTTTGTATTTAATACTTTTGCATTTTAATATTGTTTTCCAGTTATGTTCACGACTTGAAGTTCGGTTATCTGATACGCAAGTTCGCTTAGATAATTCTCAGACGAGGAAATATGACGTTGATCGTGCATTGGAGAGAACAGAGCGTGAATGTCTGGAGTTACGCGAACAGATTCGCCGTTTAGAAACCGATCTTACAAATTCTGACCTAGTAAAACAAGAACAACGCTCAGAGAAACTAAAGGTATATGTATTACTAAACATTTGTATATATTTTAATCAAACGAGCCTACTTAATAATAGTAAGTAACATAAATTTAACAACTAAATAACAGAGCGTATACAATTAAACGGTGACGTATGATGAATTTTCCTTTATCACCTTGAGAGCTCTATTACTATCTAATTTCTGTTGGATAAATCAGGATTAGTGTATATTGTTCCATTTAGACGCTTATGCCTATGCAATATTTACAAAATGGAATACCTCAGTTGTACTAATTAATTCTTAGGTTTGAGGAATTTTTCCAAAAATAAAATAATACGTCTCTTCCAGTAGTAGTGACATTCTCAACTGCTATACCCGTCCATCCTATAGTTGTATTTATGTTTATGATTCTAGATTGATATATCTAATTACTGGACAGGATTTGTGATAAAAATGGTTGGCTGAAAATTGATTGATCTCAAAACACAGAAACAGACAGAATAATTCTTCGAATTTAATTGGTGGTTGGTGACTAGCAGTGGAATCCAGGATGTGCATATTGTCCTATTTGGGACTCGTCACCTGGATGTACCTGAGTGATGTTTCCACCAAGGCTCGAACCCAGTGCCCATAGTTTCAAACGGGAAAATCTAAAATTCAGTTAAAGAATAATTCTTCCTCAGAATTAAACATTAAATTTCGTTTTATAGTGCATCAAAATGTTAAAAATTGAATAAAATAAAACAGCACACCTTTTAGAGATCTCGCTCTACATATATATGAACCAATGAATTTACACACGAAGTAGACGGTTCTTAGTAGTGATGTGCTAAGTAGGAGGTGATAAGCACTCATTGATGTGACTTTGTTGAGAGTGCTGGTGTAGGGATGGCATTAATCTTAAAATCAGAAAGCTTCCCATCAGACTGGATCCGAGTGGACGGTTGCCTGTGTGCTGTTTGGCTGAATGAATCTGCAAGAATAAGAAGAAATCGTGACCTTTATCAATGTCTTCGATAATCTGCATTTATAGAACACGATTTAAGCAAATACGTATTTTTGGGGAATTCTCATCAGACTTAACATTTACAAAATGAAATATCAGTCATTGGCATTTGGATTAATGTGGTTAGTCGAATATATGATCACAGTTCAGGGATGTAAATTAATGGATAACAGTTGAGGTGATCATAATAATAATGATATTAGGGATAAATTCATTCAATTTACCAAATATCGAGATCGCTGAGATCCTGAACCTATCGCTGGTTCCAGAAGATTAGCTTAATACGTAGAACACTATGCACTGTAACCAATGCGGAACAGCAGGAAACGGTTATTTATTTATTTATTCTCCTAGCGATAATGGAACAGATTTACGGTGGTTAATTAGCGCTAAAGTCTGTGAATAAACGTTAATATAATATACAAGATTACTTCTGATTGTAATTCTCCTTTCTTCTGCCAACCAGTATACAGTTAAGTGATGACAGCCTTCTTGTCTCGCGCCAATATGGAGACCAGTTAGAAGAAACAAACTATTCAGTGTTCACCAACAGTGAAACAAGGGTTTATATAATCTAGGCAACGCTGAGTGTATAGATGGAATGTGTATACTGCGGGAGGGGGGGATAGAGGGGAAAATAACTATTGTCACACAGCAGTTAGATAATATAGTAAAAACACTGATAAATTGTGAAACAGAGAATACAATGTACAACTACAGCACAGCATGATATTTATAATACAGCTAGCATTACAATTAAAATGAGATAAAAACATAGTAAGATACTATTTACAATTATACGGTGTTACCGGGAGAGATAACTATTTTAGGTTGGAGGCGAGGGCCAAGGGAGGGAGAGGAATAGAACAAACTCTTTCTGAACATAGATATTGGGTTGAAAAATCATTGTGGCAACTACCACAGCTATGCTTAGCAACCAAAGACGCACCAACCTGAAGAGTTGAGGTGGCAACCTGTATAGAATTGTAAAAGCTGAAATTTTGTCATTCTTGCGCGTTGTATCCACTGAGTGTGCCAGTATGGAACTTCTAATTGACTTCATGACTTCTCTACCTAATCACATTGGACAATGCTGCAGAAGGCGATGGTGGGTTTGCCGAGTCATTCTAATTATCTGTGTAACTGTCTCCACATGAACAGTTAGATTTATGAATGCACGTTGAAGTTGCCAGACTCGGTAGTTTATCCTCCACGTGAGTTGGAATCGTACGACGAGTGGTGAATTCTAAACATAGCGCTGTGACAAAGAATGTTTCAGTTATTATTTTTTGACGCCAACAATTCAGTGGCTGCGTCTCCTTTAAATGGTCGTTATGTATATGCTCACTTACACACCACCTGATTCGAGTTTGGATGAAGTGAAGTATGAGTTTCATTGGAAGGCGTCCAGTTTCTTGCCAAAAGCAAAACACTCAGATATAGGTAATTTTAATGGTCAAGTAGACAGAGTGAGTCAATCCAATCTGCGTCACTCATAATGCCGATATAATATCCAGCCAGGCATCGAAGAATGTATTTACTGTGCAGTGGTCCTACTTCATGGCTGCGAAACAAGGCATTTATTGGAAGACATAAAAAGATTGGAGGTTAGGAAGCTCCATCAATCAAGATGACTGGGACAAGTATTACGTATGTCGAGTCACCACCAGCTGATAAGGGGCTAATCTGAAATAGATTTATGAATGGTGAGACTGATAAATGACACTAATCGATAAATAAATTTACTGTTGGCTTGAGTAAATACGGAGAAGTGATTGGCACAGCTCTAAATTGCAAACCATGGATCAAATATGTGCCCCTTCTGATTCTGAAAGCCTACTCCAATCTTCATTCGATTAGCATTCATCCTATACATCTCTATCCATTGCAGTTTCATTGCAATTCTTTTCATTCCTTTTGTGCGATCTTTTCTGAATTGGTAAGTTCTACGCTGATCAATCTGGCAGTCAGTAAATTAGTTTGCTGATATTTTTCATAATTTGCGTAAACTGTGTAAATGATATGAACTTAAACGACATACTGGGCACACATGATTGCGATACCTAATTTTTATCGGCAGAAATAAGCTGTATTATACATACATACTATTAAATACTTAGTAGTTCTTTATCTATGTTTCACATAAACCGATCAGCACCATTCCAACCCAAGTATGTATTCGGTTCAGTGTTCCTGTGGAGATCAGCTCTACAGTATGGATTTAACAAATGGCTTCTTTCTGATTGTATTGTAGTACTGTCATGTTAACTGTAAGAACTCAAGTGGAGGACATCCTCTTTCATTTTTTTACAATATTCGAGTAATTATTTATTCATACACAGCTAACGTAGAAAATGAATAACGACAGACTGGAATATATCTAGTGATACAGCCCGATAAGGCTTAAATTGGTGTGGGTGTATCACTTAATATCTACAGTTACTATCCGCTTGTTTTATTATCATTATTGTTTCTCACCATCATTTAATTTAAGTTGTTTTACTTCTTATCTGTTCGATTTAAAACAATCTCTAATACAAACTTTTGGGATGCAATATCTGTCTGGTCTTTTATATGCATTTTCCTGTTTTAAGTGTAGATACATAATAGAGTATTATTTTATTAACGTTATACATTCACAGATTTTCTCCTATCTCTGTCAACTAGCAGCCAAAGTAAGAATAGATGAAAAAGTTGCTTCAGCAATGAGATTCGATGAATTACAAGAAGTGCTTGCAAGTAAGTCAACTGAAAATTATTGCTGTTGTTATTATTATTCCTTTGCGTCCCGAGTGGAACGTAGGACTTTGGCAGGACATCTCCACTTCATCCTATGCTCTGCAATCCTTTTTAGCTAACTCCGCGATTACCCATAAGCTCTAATCTTTTCCCCACACAATCTCTTCCATGTCACCCCGGACACCCATTCGACCTCCACTGGAAGGCCCGGCGCGCGATGTCACTCAACTGTCTCGTCGATGTATGCCCAGTTCATCTGCATTTTCTTTGGTGTATTTGTTGGGCAATAGATACTCGATTGATTCGTTCTCAGAACTCTTTATTGTCAATCCTTTTTGGATATATGATCTTAAGCACAGAGTGGAGACAGCTGTTGATAAGAGTCTGCAGCTTGTGAGTAATGACGGACAAAAGGCTCTCATTTGACATTATTGTTAAAAATACAAATTTACTTCTCTATGCTGAGTGTAGTAGGTTTCCACACTCATTTCAGACTAATCAAGGTCTGTCCTACATTTTCGATTCTGGCTACGACGTCCTCATCCGTTCTGTTTTTAGTTGAAATGATGCTGCCTAACCAGGTGAGTGGAAGAGGTGACTTATTTCAGACTTCTCGCTTTAGTGGTGATTGGTGCTTGTTGTTGTTGTTGTTGGTTAGATACCTTGTTCACCTCTGTCTTCTCTCCGTTCACTTGAAATCCTGTCTTTGCTACCTGCCTCTTCTGCCAGCTTGCCAGTTTCCGCCTGTAGACCACCAAGCTTATGTGATAATACAAATGTATCCTTTCAGAAGTTCAATCTTGTAAAGTCTTTTTGTCTGTCCCACGTATTCCTCTCTTCTCGCTTCCCGAGGTCTACCGTATTAGCCAGTATAAAAGTAATATATACAGATATCTTAACTGATAGAAAAAATGAGTGTTCTACACAAATATATCTTCTTATGGATTGATCTAGCCAATATTTCTGGCAAATATGTACGAGATTCATGTTTCTAGCGTAACTGGTAGACGACATATTGTTTTGTAACCAAAACTTCAAACTCTTTGATATTTTACTTCTAATTAAACGTATTTGTACTGAGAATATTCAGACCGATGAGGCAAAACCTTGACTATAAGTACACCAAATACCAAGGGGGAATTCATTTGATAATCTTATGAAGCAGTGTTGTAGGAATTCAGCCAGTGTGAACTTTACATGGATACTTGAAGTTGGTGTGCCTATAGTAAAAAAGAGAGACAATGATGATGATGACCTAACGAAGAAATAGCTCCGTCCTCCAAATTCTCTGGCAGGGATCCTCGAGGCAACAGGAAATTAATAAGACTAGCACTAATATACACTAGTATTAAGTCCTGTGGTGATGAAATTGTCTTTCTGTCCTGTGTGTTTGATTGGTTTCTTTTGCTTTTAGAATTTTAATTCAGTTTAGTTCCCAGTAGAATTTAGAGCTACAATCTCGAGTCTTGAAGTTTCAGTAGCAGTGGTATTTTTTTCGGGATGCGATTACTAGCCTCATACCTAAACTTCCCTCTCTGTTGAGCTTACAACTGGCTGTGGTAAAGATGTACGCCAACTGGGAATAGGACCCCGAACGACATACATGGTCGGTGAGCATCCTACCACTGAACCACTGACCTACAGACACACACAATGGTTTGGTAGGGAACCACAAATTCCTTGAATTCAGTGATTTCCACCCCAGTGAAACGTGATGCACACAAGGCCTACACTGAATAAGTTAATATGTTATAGGGCACCTGAAGACGAGAATTAGAAATTATTTATGATTCTTTCTAATTTCTATTTAATGTCATTTAATTCTGTTTTAGATGTCAATCCCTGATAGGAACTACTCAAAATGTCAGTTCCGACAATGTTTTCATTTACTTAGTTATCGTTGTCATTTGGTATTTAAAGTTACATTTAAATGTCAGTTTACTTGCTCTATTTCCTTTCTGTTGAAGACATTTTTTTCAATGAGAGTTTCTTGTAGAGGCTTTTTGTTTTTACTGATTTATTTATACCTTCCACCTTTCTTTTTTTCCCTACTAGCCAGAATTGGACAAATTGTTACTGGTGAATATGCCATGTTGAGTGATGTTCAAGCAAATGCTGATCGTGTTAATGGATTAAATCGAAAAGTTAAACGACTACAAGATAAATTAGCTAGTAGAGAGATACAATTAGGTTTATGGAAAGAAAAAGCTGGCAAATTAGAAGATCAGCTATCCGGTATGAATGAAACTGAAATGAAAGCTCAGGCAAATAAAATTGCTGCTGAAAAATCTGCTGTCAATGCTAGACGATCAGAATTAGAAGCTTCTCGACTTAAAGATGAGTTGACTCGATTAAGAGCAGACCTATTAGATTTTAGTGATGCTAAAGTAAGCTAGTATACGTATTAAATCAATGTCATTTTTCTGAATTCACGTTATTCGTAAATAGTAGGTATTAACAATTAAGATTTTCCGTCTACTCAATGCTCTGAACTTTAGTTTTAGTTCCCTTTCATACCAATACTTTGTGACGTTGCTCGACTTTTTTTTAATGTTTTTATCAATAGTGAAGAAATAATAATATCATAAAATTATTACCGTATATATCTCAGGAAAGGATGAGGTTTGTAGCTACACAACACATACATCCTTCAACCAGTCACCGGATATGTTTCTAAAGTCACTCTCCAAACTGACAAGTTGCTTGTCCCCCTTCTTACGATCAGTCTCAAGAATATCATGCCACAAGATGTTTGGATGCCTCTGAGACAAATTACATAAGGCATGTGAAGGCTATGTTGGCTTGTATTTCTAAATAGCAGCACTTACTGAAAGACGGCCTCCACCTCGTTCAAACATACACAACCAGTCATTAGATTTTTCCATAAAATGTCTTTAGTAATTCCAAGCGGTATTACAAAGGCAATCATGATCAAGCATATGAAGTCGCTAGAAATCCTCGAATTGAAAAGGATAGGTCTCTCAATATTAAAGCAGGACACTATGTAATATACGGGTGTAATCCCATGGCATTTGAAATGAAAGTGTCCTAGATTGGCATATGGCATTCTGTTAAGAGACGTTACTACCAACACATATGTACAAAACTACCTAGATGTATGAACCTTTCTACTGCTTCATGCAGTTCATATGAGAATATGAATCTAGACTGAAACTCTCACAATACCTAGAAATCCTTTTGCACTTTGGCAACTAAAAGGATTTCGCTTAAGGTCGGATAGTTTCTATTAACATGGCAAATATATAACACTTCAGCGTTACTTTCAGACATTCTTTAATTTCAGATTTAAACACAGATGACTCGGCAACATTTGTGCTATAGGGAAGTATTGATACATCAAATGTATTCATAATATTAAGAAACAACGCTTATTTAAAACTCTTGCTTTAATTGTGGTAGCAACATTTGTATAAAGCATTAAATATTAAGCAAATATGCAAACCGAACCCGTGCTTGTCTTCGGGCACTAACTTTAGAACGCCTGACTTAAAGTAACAATCAAAAAGGTGTTATCCATGATTCTCGGTGACCAGTACTGGTCTATGTTTCATTCTTTTCTATATAAACATGGAGCTCATGTGAAATGCTGGTTCAAAATCTAAGTTCATATATCCACTAGGTAAACCCTTCCCACACATCAGTTTGTTAACAAGCATTCAGCATTCGCAAACACTTCTCAGTTTTATGGTAATTCCCTATACCACTGAAGGACACTGAGAGTGGCTCTTCGTAGGATGGGAAGGTAGGGAAGTGGTCGGAACATTCACAAAATAGATCAGTATCTATTCATTTTTCATCAGGTCGCTTAGATCATTTAGGCAAACATTTAGTGTTGCAGCCGAGTATTCCTGAATAAAGTCTTTTAAAGAGTTGGTTGTCGCAGCTAAGGAACATTAAAATAAAGTGTATTCAAATCGTCAGTTACCGTACTGCACTGAATAATCATTTTGCTGAACTTTGGACGAATTCTATGTAGATGCATTGTGTATATTTCAGTGGGAAATTTATTGTATGAAAGTGTATTTTAATACAATTCACTATTTCTTTTCATGTCTATTCAGATCAATCTAATTAAATATGAAGAGAAGATAGCTGAATTAACTAAATCAAATAATGATCTAGAGTGTATACGTCAAAGTCAAGCGAATAAAATAGCTGAGCTAACAGAAAAATTAGAAATACAAACAACAGATGAAGGCGATGCTCGTATTAGACTAGAAGAAGAATGTAAACACCTGAGGAGTGAATTACAATCAATGAGAAAGACACTGGAACAACTTCAACGTTCTGAAAGAGAGGTAGAATCCCTAGCTCATCTATTTTGTACTTTTTATAGTGTTGGTTAACAAACAGCTTTGGATTTTTGTAATAAATACAGTCACTGAAATTGTTTTGTTCACCTAAAGGGGTTACTTTCATCGGCAAAGGAAAATTGAACAATATGGTCCAAGAATTACTTGTAACATATCACTTTGTTTAGACTGAAATTTAAGCTTGTTTTCGTATTTACCATCAGTTTGATGAACGTCAAAGAGCTGGAAACGTAATTTTAGGGCTTTCAGACCAATTGATCCTCCTAAAATACAATAAACATGTCTATATTGGTGACATTCATCAGAATATTTGCATTTTTCATTCATTCAATGGTTACTACATTATCGTAAACCAGATTCTGATAATTCATCTAGAGGTCTGGCGAATAACGCCTTGTGTGTGCCGGCACTTCAGTGGTGAAATGCTTCTTAGCCATCCACTTGGTTTGGGTTCGATTAGCGGTTGACATACTCCTAACCCTCATCAAGTTTACTGGCCCACAATGAGCCCGGAAAAATGAGAAGGTTGAATGTGAGGCTAGCAACTCCACTCAGTAAAAGACAACACTGTGACTGGAACTTAAAAGTCTGAAGCCCTATTTTCCACTCGTCAAGTAAGGAACGAGATTATAATTCTGTTTCAGGACTTCATCATGAACTGACATCGATTAGAGGACCATTGGGAAACCTGGGAGTAGTGGACAGATGTTTCGTTTTGACCCGGGAGTTTTCATCAGTACGCATCCATTGAGATTCGAACCCAGGACCTTCTAGTTGCAAGGCTAGCTCATACACAATTAAGCCACTGGGAACCGATTAAACGGGCCATGAATTCCATCCTCTGATGATTCATGATATGACGCGACCACCTAATGAATGTCACCGTAGTGTATTTGTCGCCACACCCAACCCGCTGTACTTCACTGGTCACGACTTCCCACTAGAACCCAAGTAACTACCTACCTGAATAGGGCCAGTCACTGGTGAGCATGAGATTGATGTTCAAGTGTTGGTTAGCAGGAATTCGATTGGTTGAAGGATTTCTTCATGAACTGACATCGGTTAGAGGACGAAACAGCTGAACCAGTACCCCCAGATTTTTCAATGGTCCTCTAACTGAAGTCAGTTTATGATGAAGTCATAAAACAAATCAAATCCTTGAAAAACCAACACTTGAAAAAGATTGTGATAAGTAAACTTGTACTGAAAGAGTAAGAAACATTGATCTGTATGCATTAAGATTAATGATAACGGAGGACAGAAATAGTATCTAAACACTTTGTAGAGCTAAATTTCATTCTGTTTTTATTACACACTTTCTTAGTAAAGCAGTATTTTTATTTAAAGGCATTTTTTCTTCTATACTACTGACCTTAACAATAATTTTTGTTTTAAACATTTTGCCCTACCAGTGATTATTCCTTTAGTTACTCACTTTGTCTACATATCCATTGACCTACTTAATTTCCACGTTTACTTGTTTCTCAGCTTTTAGAATTCAGAGCACTTGTTGGCCGTCTTCTTGGCTTAGATGTTGAATTACTCACAATACCTAATTATGATATAATTAGTCGTTTAGAAAATATTATAACGCATCATCAATTTGTAAAAGACAATTCCATGACATGCATGCATGATATGCATTCACCTAGTAGAAAATCACGTCCGCTGACTAAAGATACTGGATCCTATCGTTGTATGACAGCAGAATACATGGCTGGACCACACACAGCAAAGACTAGATCAAAACAAGGTAAAATTAGATTACGTTTTTTTATACGCTTCAGTTTGAGATTGTTAGTGTGACAGATTATAAACATATGTGTATGCTTATATTTTGGATGCATGTTATTAAAACAAAACAACACATTCCTAGAAAATATGTTTTTTAATAATGAATCGGTTTTATATAGATACAATTACCAGTGTCAGTATTGTATACGTATAGGCTTAAATATATGCAAGTGTGTATAGCTTTAGCAATGTTTTGTTTCAATGAGAGAGATACAGCTGGAATTTTCAGACTGAAAAGAGAATAAACATTTTACAATTGTTTTAAATAAATTCATCTTCGTTATTATTCCCTTAGATTCCTTGTGTAAAATACCCCATTTCATCTTTTTCACTACAGTCGCCTTTAGCTGGCTCCATGGTAGCCTATCAACTCTCATCTCCATTTCACATGGTCTCCTTCATGTCACCCTTGTACGTTCAACTCGTATTTTCTCAACCGGGTTCCACTTGAGGGGCTGCTTTGTGTGTGTGATGTCACTCAACAGTCTTTTCAGTATATCCCCAATCCAGTTCCATTTTCTTCGGCATATCTATTGGACAATGTATTCTTGTGTGGTTCTTTGTCAAAGGTCTTTGTTGCTTATTCTTTCCAACCAGACATTTAACCTTCAGTGCGGTAACTGTTGATGAAAATCTGCCGCCTATGAGAAATGCTTTTTGTGATGTACGCGTCAAATCTGTGAATCATACAGAAGAGATGAATAACTTGACGTTAGTGTTGAAAATAAAAATCTAGTTCTCTTTGCTGAGTGCAGCAGATTTTCACACTCATTTCAGATTAATCATGCTTCGTCTTGCTTTTCCAACTCTGGCTTTGACATTCGTATCCGTTCTGCCTGTAGTTGAATCGATGCTATCTAGCCAGGTAAAGGTGGATGAGTTGATTTATTTCAGATTTCTCCCTCTGATAGTGATTGATGCTTGTTGTTGTTGTTGGTGGTGGTGGTTAGATATCTTGTTCAGCTCTGTCTTCTCTATGTTCACTTGAAATCCTGTCTTTGTTGCCTGTGGTCTCTTCTGCCAACTTGCTGGTTTTTGCCTGTAGGTTTACGAGTTTGTGTGTGACGTCCTCATACGTTCGCTTAAATAAAGAGGTACAAGTCAGTTGAAGTCTTTTAGTTTCTGGAGCTCGTTTATGCAATATAATTTCATCAAAAGTTTACCACGAAAAGTATCTAGTGACATGTGGATAAATTTGCAGTAATTGACTGAATAAGTGATTTTAGTCAATCGTAACGAAGAAGTCAAGAAAATCAGCTCAGAGACTTTTTAATGCAGGCAAATTACAAATCTTATTTTCTACATGACCAGTAGTGATTCGCCGATTGAAACGTGAGGTGCCTAGACAGGCCACTTCTGATTGTATCTACCAATTCAACTGAGCTTGTGGAGCAGGTTATGTCGGCTGCTGTTCTAGGAACTTGATTATTCGTGTTCGGGAACATCTTCCAGTGTGGTTAAATAAAGGTGTAATGAGGAGCATGAATAGCTCGATATTAGATCAGCTGGTCCAAACGAACCACGAAGCTAATACTGAAGAGTCCTTCTACATCATCTATCGACTACCAAATAAACTGTCAAAAACATCCGGGTACCGCGTACTCCAACCCGCTGAGGCTATCGCGATTCGCCCTAAACACCTTATGCTCTGTGTGCAAAAGAAGCGAGTCCACCCACTACTACTGCCCTGGCCAGCCTTCAGCCTGTGCGTCGGTGGCACAATGGTTAGGACTCTTGACGACCATGCACATGGTCCAGGGTTCGAGCCCACACCGGCGCACACCAGATATCTATGGTCGGCCTGCAAAATTTGGGCTACCGACATCCACGCTGAAAATTCCATACTTGTACCAAAAATACAGTGTGGAATCAAGCTGTTACCAAAAATAAAAAAAATATATAAATTCATTAGTTTGTAATCTTATATTTCCTAATTTCTCTTATATTCAGAGTATTGTTGTGTTGATGCTAACGAACTGCGATCCATTGATATTATTATTGATTTTCAATGTTATTTAAACAGCATTAGTGTTAATAATATAGCTGTCTTTTAACAATTATTACAAAGTTTTCACTTGGACAGCTTTAAACTGCTTTGTAATGGCTCATAAAAATTACTTTAGCTAGAATTTTACATGTAATCGAATGACAAAAACTTATTTGATGTTGATTAACAGAAATTCAAAAACGCCCTCAAAGTAAAATGTTAAGCTTACTAAACAAAAAACTATACCATGTAGACAAATAATATTAGCTTCATCCTCAACAGTGTTTATATAACGTATAGAGTAATCTATTGCATAACAGTTTCTATTTTTCTAGAATATCCAAGTAAACTGGTGACTGATAGCAAATCGTGTGACACTCTGCTGTCTGACCTAAAGCAAAAAAGTCCCTTATGATATTTCTTCCTCACCTCCTTCTAGAAATGCACAAAGCTTCATTGAAAGTCAATTTAAAAAGGTCTAGGAGTACATTTCCTCATCCGAGGACATACTAATAGGTAAATAGGTGAAGACTGCAGGTAATTAATTCTATATCTTAGGCAGTGAAAGTTTGTACTTAAAATTTCACGAACAATTATCCCATGTATTGAAATACATTGTCACCCACGATTTTTCTTTTTCTCAAGTTTGATAGAAACTTGTGAATTGGCAGGTTGTAAACATTTTAAATACTCACCATAGTAAATAATACTATTGGAGGTCAGATTGTATTAGACTTAAACAAACTGAACAAAGAGTAAATAACTACAACACATTGATAGTGGTTTTCTGTAGCCCAAGTTTTAATCAGGCCGCTTCTCAAGTGCCATCTAAAACACGGCTGAATATAAGTGGGGGTTATAGCATATCTAGATAGTATGACAAAGTCTTCGGCAAAAAGATGAATTCAGTCTCCCTTAATCTGCCCATATAATACGCCTCTGAATAGCTTACTTAAAACGTTGTGCAAATTGGTCATTATTCTCCAACTAAAGTCCCAATTTACAGAATTTATCTCTGTTTTCTTAAAACAAGTGAGAAGCTATAGGGATATCCAGAAAAGCAATGTCTCTAGTAAGTGTTTAATCCCTACTTAAACTTACTTTATCGGAATAAAAAATAGTCTGCCGCAAACAATTTAATTTATTGACTTATGACTTGAATTCGCTTCAACCTTATATCTTTCCCTCTGCAGTATATGAGACCATTGTTTCCAAGAGGTGGAGAATCTTTACTTACAGTTTAGAGTTCATCCCTTTAGACTGTAGCATCCTAATAATACTTTATGGTATGTATTTGAACTATTTTATTTTACTGTGTTCAGTGAATAAATGAATTAGTGAAACCATTCTAAGAATAAAATTTAAAACTCAAAAATAGAGTAGTTTGAAGTGAAATTTCATCCCACGAATTCCCTCATAAGCCAAAACTATTCAAATCATAATATGTGATCTATCTCATACACCATAAATCACAATCAAGAAAGCAAATATAAATGCATATGTGGTATGTATGTATGTATTGCCAATTCACTCAAGCAGCTAGTCAGAATTCGGCTGGTTTGTACTGATTCGGCTCTGTAATCTTAGTCGGACCGGATACACCGTCACTGGGCTCAACTCCAGACGAGTGAAACTACCGTCCGGTACTTAAATCGCTTACACTCGACTACCAAGCACTACTGATAGATGTGAGTAGTATTCAATCAATCATATTTATCAGTAAAATATAAATAAAGTATCCCAACAGGATTAATATTCCTTATCTCTATCGTATAGATTTTATATTCACGTGAGGTAAAATCAGGCACTTTTAACCATTCTTCTATCGATCTACTGTTTGGCGTATTTTTAAACTCGCTTTTTTCCCGGCAGAAGTATTTCTAAAAGAAATGAATACAGTCAATTAAAAAAAGGATGTCAGTAATAAAGTGAATTTAACAGTTTACCACTAACACTATTTCTAATACCACTACTACTTACACTACAGTTACTCTTCGCATGTAAGATATTCATTTCACAATCACTGTTCAAGTTACATTAATTTCTACAGACTTGCCGTCATCTTTTTTTTTACTTCAAAATACATCGTATTCGACGCCATATTGCGTTTTAGTGTTGCACGCATATATATATATATGTGGATCTTTTAAAATTAATGAGTTTAAGTTTTTGTTAAAAATAACCAGAAAAATAGATTAGATTCTTGTTCAATTAAGTTGCATTTAAATCTAGTTTTCCTTTTTTTTAATAATCTATATGATTTCTTTATTGTCATTAATATTGTTCATAAAGCAGTTAACGATTCAATGATTAAAACATGAGGAAAGTTCATTGTGGTGGATAGAGGTAACTGATGATTTTAGATGGTTGGAGGCAATCGGCAATCACGAACCTGAATAGCTCAGTGGTAACGTCTCTGACTGCAGCACTGGGTGATAAGGGTTCGAGTCTCAGAAGAGACATGAGTTCCTTCAAGGCAGTTGCAGATACGCCTTGTTGACTAGTGAGTGCCAACTAACACGAAATCTAGGTTAAGCAAGACTTCCTATGGCCGATTCCCTCCAACCATCTATTGTCACCAAATCAATGTGCACCTTGATGGTGAGCTACCTAGAATGGTGGCCACATTGCGAACCCGACTGACGGAATTCAGTCTGCATCAAAAGACAGGTCTAGACATACCACAGTAGTTACTAGTGTAACAACAGATGGCAAGACACAGAAGACAAGGTATCTTTTCAAGTGATCAAACTGCCACATATATGTATATATGTGGTGGCACAGTGGTTAGGACTCTCGCCGACCATGCACATGGTCCGGGGTTCGAGCCCGCACCGGCGCACATCTGATATCTATGGTCGGCCTGCAAAATTTGGGCTACCGATATCCATGCTGAAAATTCCATACTTGTACCGAAAATACAGTGTGGAATCAAGCTGTAAATCAAAAAAATTATATATATATACCAGTCA